ATGAGTCTTTATATGTATATATATGGTAAAGGTATTACAGGCAACTTGCTTGCATACATTTAAAAACTAATCTACCTTTGAGGCTGAATTTCTACTCTATCAATAAAAATAATTGTATTTCCATTCTTTCAGCATATGGACCCTCATCTAGCTTCTTGATGAAAGTTAAATACTATTTATGGAGTTAATTCTACATGATTTTTTAGCTGGTTCAGACATAAATGAGACTCACAGATCTTTCGCAGCTGGATGCTACTAAAAAAAATTCAACTCAAAAATTTTCTCATAACAGCTGGAGTTAACTAGAAAGCTAATGATATCCTAGGCTAGCTTCCTAGGAATGAAGAATGATATGAAAATTGAGTATATAAATTTTAATATAAAATTTATATTTAATTTAAAATTAATTAATAATAAATAAAATAATTTTTTATATTTAAAAAAATATATTTTTATTTATATATTTGAGATAAAATTTTCTAACTCAATAAATAAACTAATTAAAAATATGTTTGGTGAAACTTTAAAAGTTTTTTTTTACTATTTATTAAGGATAAATTTAAATTTTTATTAAAAGAAAATTTTAAAATTTGATTTTAAAAATAAAAAAATTATAAAAAATAAAAATTTAAAAATTTTTAAAATTTAATATTTAAGATTTTTTTTAAATTAAAAAAATTTAAATTTTTTAAAAAAATTTAAATTTATAAACATAAGTAATATTAAAAAATTAAAACCCTTACAAATTTCACCTCACATGCTTTTTAAGTCTCTTTTTTAAGCGTGCCAGATTCTTTTCGGCTACCATCCCTACCGGCCTGGAACGGGGAACGGCTCCCACCAACCGATCAGCTTCCTAGAAAATATGCAAAGACGCACGAGTGGTGACTCTAGCATTCAACCTTACCACGTGTTTTTATGAGCTGTTCTGGACTTTACTTACCTGGACATATATATATGTTGGGGCGGTGGTTACTGTTGTGCACATTTTTATTAACAAAATTAATGAATTCTAATTAACATTTTATTAATTTATAGGTTTCGAATTCAAAACTTGTGTACACAGCAACTCCTGTAAAGAGATTCACCCACCATTTTTCAGATACGCGATGTTGGTTGGAAACAAAAAAAAAACATTTTATTAATTTATAAATTTTTAAAATAATAATTATGATATTTAAAAATATT